GGAGGATTCCTTCAGTCAAAAAGGGACTCATCCTAGCAACACTGAGTTACTAAGAATAAACTGCATTTAAGGCATCTTATGCTGCAGTGCCAAAGTCTCAAAGCAGACAGAAGTCAAACAAGCAGCTCCCAGAGGAAAACAAGAGCATTCCTTCCAATCATGTGGTAGCTTTTCTGCATCCTGAATCTTTTCTGATCAATTTAAACTGTCTTTTTATTTACTATGTGTTATTGTGATGTAACAGTATCTAAGATACATCAGTAAAACCAAGAGGGGGAAAAAAACAAACCTGACTAGCTGGTTTGGTGGAAGACGGAATTTCTGTGGGACCAGAACAAACTCAAGTAAAATTCAGAAAACTGTTACAACAAAAAGAGTGAAATGAACAAATAAAATTTAAAACTCACAAACCCAGCCTTAATTTTTATATTTTTGCTGCTATTGTTTCTAACATGGCAAAGACAACTTTTTTGGAGGGAGAAATATCCCTGAGCAATATGTGACACTGAGTTTGATTCAGAGGGAGTAGATGACTTTTTTTACAATTTTATTTGGCTAACACAACAAAGCATCATTTATTCACCAACTCATAACTTGATGAAGCAGAAGGATAACCAAATGGGCAAATTCTACTAGGATCAAGACTGGCTTCAAGTTTGTGGTAAGGATAAAACCACTCTTTCTGCTTATCATTCTTCCAGGAACAGCTGCTGCTGAAAAAGCTCCAGATTATGTTTCAGAATTGGAAAAATCATTTAGTCATGCTCTTTGAGCAGCATCAATGTACCATTTATTTTCAGTAGGCAGAGTTAAATCTGCTTCAAGACTTGTTCCAAAGGGATGGCATCACAATATCACTTGGGGAAAAAAAGTAACATCGTGGAGAATAAAAATTTCAGCATTTACAGGTAGACTGCTTTTGTATCAATTTGGTGAAAAGAATAAACATATCACCTAGAAATTTTTAATTTTAATTCTTTTGAGTACTTGCTCAAGTTATCTGTGATTTGTGCACTATTTAATGAGATTTTGTAAAAACATAGTCATAAGATTTACATTACTCTACACTTTGAAAAGTGCCTAGAGGTTATTCAACAATAGAACAGTCCATCAAAATTCATGGATCTAATATATTTGCAAAAAAAAAAAAAAGAGCATGTTTGGAAATGTCAGACAGGTGCTGCCATAAAAATCACCACCTGAATATGCTACAATATGTGCAGAGACATTTTTTCTGTACAGCTATTTTGGTGACTATTACCATACTACAGCCATCATATCCCTTGCACTCTCTTCACCAATCTAAGCAATTAGACAAATGCAAAACCACTGAAATTGTGTTGGTTATTGAGTAACTAACAAACTTATTTCCTCTTTTCCTCTGATTTATTGCTCCCTATTAACACCATGTTCACTACCTAGTTTGCATTTGAGCACCTTGATCACTAACTATGCATTCTACCCCGTTCCCTCATTTTTCTGACTGCTGCAATTTTCTTGTGCTGCTTTGCCAGTTCACTACTAAATACCCTTAAAAGCACAAGTTCTGGAAAACTTCACAATAGTGTTCAAAACACACAACATAATTTATCTCCCATAACTATAACCTTGTACATCAGCTGGGCTCACATACTTCACATTGATGTAGCAAGGCTGCTTTGAAATCAGGAATCCACAACATATTTATTTAGATCTGGGACTCAAGGGCTGGGATATTTTGGAGAAGCAACCAAGAAGAGCAGCTTTAAAATAAACTTATCTATATAAGATCTCAAACTGCACACTTCAAAGTCATGGGAAAGATTTTTTTATCAGTTTGACTGGTTTGTTATTATTCAGGCCCAGTATCCGGGTTCATTCCTTTTGCTCTGCTCCTCCTCTCTACTCATCACCCTGCATGGGCTGTCATAACCCCCCTCCTAATGCTTCATGGAGCTGCATGCAGAACACAGGCACTCAAAATGCCAAACAACAAGAGAGAGAGTTTGCAAAGTTAAACTCAGCAGCAGCTCCAAGGCTCAGAAATCATCCACATTTCCAAAGAGTCCCCAGGAATATAAAACGCAAACATCTTTGTCTAAAGGATGCTCTGACTCCAAAGTAGTGTTACAAGACAGGCACGCTCCTGAAAATGCTGAATGAACTGCAGTGTAAAGCTGTAATTCAGGTGAGCTTTATTCTTTGCTTTAACCTCAGGGAAAAAGAAAAAAGATACCACTTTATTGCACTTTAAAACAAAATAAGAGAAGGCAATACTTAGACATTTTATGAAGGGAATGCTTTCCAGAGTATTATGGACATAGGATGTTGCAAGGTAACTACCACAACAAAATACAAAACTCTAGGAAGAATTTTAATATCATGATTTCAAAATTTAGTCATCAGAACTTCAAATACTGAACAGCAGCACTTAGTTATAATGTCCCCAAATGAAACTCATGTATTTGGCAGCACTCAAATATTATTTAAAAGCTATATTTTGTTTTCGTTACTGGAGTTCCACTTCTCAATGTTATTTATTGACCAACAAGTGACAAGAGACTTAAACTACAATTATGAGATGTTACAATTTTTTTAATCAATTTAAACACATTTGTCTATCAAATGATAGCAGCAAATGTCTATTTGACTATATATGTGTAAGTACGCTACTTAACTAATATAATAATATTGATTACATAACAAATATGAACAAAATTACAGGCATAAGGCATTCTTTCAGGGCTAGAGACTGGCTTTATAAACCTTACTGTTAGATGTTCCAGTAAGAAGGATAACTGCTAAGAATTTCATTGACTGTTCAGTCACTAAAGGTGGATTCACCTAATGCAAATGTGTTATGCTTCAGTATTTAGTACTATTTAAGGTTCAAGACACTAAGAATCACCTTTATACAATTACCTGTGTTGCCAGATATTCCTGACTTAGGACTCTGGACAGGACTATCAGCCAAAACCAAGAGGTTTATGCTGCTACTCCTAATTGTTACCTGAGCTGCAGCAGGATCCAGTGTATAAAATCATGACTCAATATTGCTGCAGAACAAACCACAGAACATAAATGCCAACTAGAAACAGCCCAACGCAAAACACAAATACTGACACTGAGTGAACAGAGATCCATCCAGCTCAAGCCCAAACAAGTCTGAAAATGGCTTTACTGTGTTTTTACACTTCTGCCTGCTGGGGCACATTTATCACTGAAAGCAACTTTTCCTAAAGCACTGCTCATCTTATTTGCAGTCAGTGCCTGTAGCACCTTCCTCCCTCTCAGACCCTACACCTGAGTCATTGTGAGAGTTTGTTATTGCTGGAATGCTGCAATTACTGGCTCTGCCCAAATACTACAGTCACATCACCTACAAAAGGTAAATAGAAATGCACAGAAAAGTTAAATCTGCCCTTAACGATTATATAACATGGTGATTTCCTGCCAACAGAGAATGAGGCCTTTGTTCCATGCCAACATTTAACAATTTCTGCAGAAATGGTCTATACAGAAAAAACCCCATAACCTACTCAACAAAAACTTGCAATGCCATAACTGCCTAATTTTTAGAAGACATACAGATAAAAAAATATACAGATGAAAGGTGAGGTATTCTAAAAATAGCTGTATCAAATAGAACCGTGTTTGTCTCAAAGGGCACAGTTTTAAGGCGTCAGCTTTTCAATCAGTGTAGCTGCAGCAGCACACAAGCCGAGTGCAACCCAGTTCCAAGGACAAGGCTAGGAAAGAAGCCCCCAAAAGGCAAGGAGCAAAAACAGAACCACAGGAGCCACATCACTCATGCCATCCTGTTTGCTGTGTTTGGAATTTCTGAAGGACATTTGTTTGTAGACTATTTAAATTCTCCAAACAGAGCAGTCCAGTTGATATTTATATAATATTCTGCTCACAGTTATCTGTATTTCCCTCTCCCTCTTACACTGAAACTTTTTTTGCAACAGATGTTATAAAAGTTTTTATACCAGAGTGAATTTTAACAGATGCTCAATAACACTGAGTAAAAGTTTCTTAGTGCACTGCTACACAACATCAGATAGATATTCACAGGTGACATGGATGCAAACATCGTAACCAATTTGACAAGTTTTAGTTCAGAAGGCAGACAGCACGTAGAATCAAATATTTGAAAAGTAACTATTTGTGACTGTATTCTTTTACCATACACAGGGAGTAATCACAGGATCATTCCAGTTGGCAAAGACCCTGAGGAGAGTGGAGCCACCCATCAACGTTCTTATTTCCCACACAGAATTATTGTGTTTAGTGCTTCTACAGCAAGTAATTATTTCACTTACTATTTCAAAGGCTTCAAAGCTTTTGCACTGAAAGAATGGTGAAAAGTAGCTTGCTTTGCACAGTTTGAGCTGACATATTGTGCTCCTTGGTCTTGTATTACAAATATACCATTATTCAATTAGATTGCTTGACTTACTGAGCAATCTGAATTATTCTCTACTTCTAAATGGAAGGGAAGCTTGAGCTGATAGAATCCCTCCCAAAACAATTCTGCTACATACTATAACAATATATAATTTTCATATACCAATTATTAAATACACTAAGTGCTACTAAGTATAAAATGGCAAAGTTAGGTAAACATTTACATGGCCTCCACACTACCAAATAACATCACATTTAGATTAAAGTTCGTTGTAAAGCAACAGTCCTTTTATCTGAATATTGTTTCAAAAATTCAAATTAAATGTCTTTTTCCAAATAAGTAGTATTTCAAAAACTACATTCACAAAGCTGTTGGGCAGATTTTCACCCCGGTAGAGCAGCATAGCACTCAAGAATTCAATAAACCTTTAGCCATTCCAACCAATTAAGAAACTAAAATCAGTGTTTCAAAAGGCACACACAGGCACTTCTCCCATCTAGGCCTTCATTTTTTTTAAAAAGGTCACATGCTACACTGTATAGCACTATATATATAAAAAGTCTTCACACACAGGCCATTATCATTTCAAAAATTCAAAATTGTATCTTACCAAGACTGAACTCCAGCTTTGGCTCATTTGCAATTCTCTGAATACCTTAAAAGGCCAAGAAAAAAAAATATTAGAGATAAAAAAGCAAGACATGGAAATCAAATTAATACATAGTAAAACTTTCACATGCCTATAACTACTGCCATTGCCACTGAAGTAACATTTTATGTTAGAGACTCATGGTCAAAGCAAACTTGGATGAAACACTTGCCTGAAAAAAGGCTACTTTTGAAGAAGACTTCCTTCTTAATAGAAACTTTCTGTTACTGGGAAAGGAAACTAGGAAAAAAACCCCAGGTTTTCATGGCTGTGTTACTTGTAAGATTTCCAGTCACAGCAACTGACTATATATGTGTTGAGAAAATATTAAGTCTCATAAGTAATTTTTAGTGTAGGTATGTCATCACATTAAAAACAAACTCCATGTTTAGTGAAAGTAGGTAGATCAGGTTAATAGAGTAAAATATAAACACATAATTGATCCACAAACAAATTGTATAGCAATGAGCCCAACTTCTTTTTGTTGGAGATTAAACACATTAATTCTTCTTACAAAACTGGAACAGGAATAGTTTAATCCATTGTGGAATTATGTTCTACTGCAAAGGGCAATATTTTCTTATGCTAAAATAAAGGAGTGAATCACAGAGATGCAACAAGAGAAAAGTAGGAAGCAAGGAGGGATAGGTGAATAACACTTAGGTGTTCACCTGATGCACCAACTAATTGGATCACAACTACAGCTCCAATGAACTTGTACAAGTTAAACTCTCTTTGACATTTTGTATTCTCTAGTAAGCATTATTAATTATCACTCAGTATTGAAGAAATGGGTCAGATAGGAAGGATTACAGTTAGTATATGAAGTGGAGTGAGATTTTTGTTAAAAAAACAAATTTAAAAACCTACAAACAAAAAAAATCACCCCAAACTTATAGCTGTGTCTGCTCCATAAAAACATTATGCTGCCAAGTCTAGATTCACACTGTTCTCATTAGTGTAGCTATTCATTCACATCTGTGTGAGGAAAATTACAGCTGCAGAGCTTAGATAGGTCAAAAAGAAAAAAAAAAGACGGTTTTTTGGTTTGTTTTTTTTTTTTTTTTTTTTAATGGAGCTTGAATAAATTTCTGAGTTGAACTCTGCCAGTAGCATATTGGCCTGAAACACCCTCATGAATGCTGGCTACAGCATGAAGTGAACTGAAATACAGTCTTCTGACTCCAGTGCACCACCAAATACAACTCAACGTACAGGTACTTGCATTTAAATCCCCCGACTGCTTCTACATAGAACAAACCTGTGATAGTAGTTTAAGTATCACTAAAGATTTATCCTTTCATCAACATTATCAGACTATATTTTAAACAGTAATCCATATAGGAAATAAAAGAGGAAAAAATTGCTTTAATTCTTATTAGAAGAAAACAGGTTAGAGAGAAAAACTCAGAAACACAGAAGTCACACATTTGTTCCCCTGAAGATTATGTGCATAAACCAAAGCATATCGGGGAAAAAATTAAAGGACCATTTTCATCAGTTTATTTCCTCTAAACTGCACTTGGACAGGCAAGAAGTTGAACAGCATTTCGTACCCTGCTTGTGACACTATCTGAACTGCCACAGAGACTGGGCCACTTTCATTGTACCATTCCATAAAATGAGTACAAGCACTTACTCGTCAACTGGGGCTCTCCTAGACTGTCTAACTGGGAAGAAGGGAAAAACTGTCGTGCTTCATCTGATGATCTCTCCTCTTTGATTTCCATGATCAGCCTCCGGAGCTGCTGAATTTTATTCCGCAGATCTTCCGAGCTCACCTCTCCCAGTGCCACAGCACGAGATTCAGAGTCTGGCTTGGATGCAACTTCGAGGCAAAGATCCGGTTCTGCACTCAGAAAGCACGAAAGCAGCTCTTAGGGACTGTGATTGCAAAGGAGGATGATGGAAACACTGATTTCACAAACAATCAAAACCACTACATACACACTTATGTTCATGGTCACAGAACCATGCAGCCCCATCTACCTCTGGAGTCAAATCCCAGCTCCTTCAGAATTGGTGCAGTGCTCAGCATATCCACAGAGTAGTTCCAAGATTAGTTAACAGATGGATAAATTAGGTGGCAGAATCAAACTAAAATGGGAAATCCTTTTCCAGCACAGATTCTGCAGCCTACCAGGCAGCTCTCTGAGCTGCTAATTTGACAAAGAACTTGATTCAGCAAGGGCAGCAGAGCAGTTCTGTCAGAGAGTGGGATTCACCAGAATTAACGTGTCCATCATCTCTTCTATTAAAGATCTCCATTATGCTCAGCCTCTCATTCATCCTTGCCAGAATACAATCAGAAACACATGCAGATAATTTAGCATGACATAACTCCTCTGTGAAGACTCAACAAGTCATATGTGGGAGCTTCAGACCTCATCATTACCCATGTTTCATTTGCTGTTCTGCCTGGAGTCTAATTGTTTAATGATCAAATCTTCTGAGAACAAAAGAAGAAGGGGGCGGGGAGGAAGCTGAAGCTCCCAAGGAATCCAGGTAAGTAGCAAGGGCTGGTCATTTGATTAAAGTTAGAACAGGAAGAAAAATCACCTCGTAGACATTTAAAATTCTGTAGAATAGACAGCTTCACAGAGTCACAAATTCACTGTGGCATTTAGGGCAGCACACACCGAGAAGAGCAAACTGGGAAAGAAAGAAAATCAATTTTTTTTAAACAAGTTACTAACTAATTTAGAAACATAAAACTCTATAAAACACCTGTGCTATTGTATTAACAAGGACTGAAGTATTTCATTGGGCCTGAAAATCATTCTGAGCTAAATCAGCCATATATCATACCACTGGACAAAACAGAACACTGAAAGGTTTTCATACTTAGTTTAAAATCCAAACAACATAGAAAAGTTATTTTCCATACAATGTGAACTTAAATTTATGTTACTACCTTGAGTATCTAACCTTGGGCACTTGCACACATGTTATTCTAAACCTGTTTGCACTTCATAAACTGAGCATCTGCCAGTTAAAATAACCTCTGCTTTTATGGTTATGGAGGGGATAAAAGACGAAACCTCAAGTCTGGAAGGCTCTAAAAACTGTCTACAAATCCCTGTGGAGGTCAGACAAGTTTTTTGTCTGGGCTGGATCTAAGGAAATCCAACTGTGTGGCTGCAGATGCTGCTAAAAATGCTGGGTAACATTTCATGTACCAGCTGGACCATAGATTTCATGAAGAAAGACTGGAAAGACAAAGTGGAAACATCTGCTTCAGGGGCAGATGAAGAGCTAATAAGCATTTGAATGCTTGCCTTTAACCCTGACTCAGCCAGAAAACACATATTCAATTCTTGAGAGAAGGATATTCAGAATCTTAGAGAGGTTTAGATGTTCTTAGATCCCTTTTTCAGATAAGATCTTTTCTTGAGCGACCAAACCTCATCAAGCTGAGCTCTGCTGTTTGTCCAAGATGACTGAAGAGACAGAAGACTTAGCTGTAAGCTCTCCTGGGATCTGGTACTCCATGTGAGCCATACTTGGATGAAGTAACCTTCAGAAAGACCAGTACTTAGAAGAGCTGCTAACTTGTCTGTTGCTCTGCTAAGATCTACACCAGCAGAGTGCTCTACTTCCTCCTGTCATTGACATCAATGAGTCTGAAGTCGGTCATATTTCATGGTATTTTGGAGCTACTAGTGGAAAACTGAAAGGAAAGGTATGTAATAAACCAGCATCAAGATCCAAGTTAACTAATTAACGTTAATTAAAAAAAAACATAAAACAAAAACCAACCAAACAAAACTTTAAAAACTGAGCAACAACCATAAAAAAAGAAACCACCCACACAAAAAAAAAAAAGCCACCAAAAAAACCCCACAAAGTTAACATCTGCTTATACCATTCAACCTTTAAAAGCAAAAAAGCACAGACAATTTTAATAAAAGCAGTTTGGATATCCAAAATACCTTAGGTGAAAGAAAAGCTGTCAGAGAAACAAGTCAACACTTAAAAGCCAAAAGACAAATATACTAAGGTGTTCTTTTCTTTGAGCCATTTATCTTAAAATGGAAATAGGAACAGTAATCTTGCCTTGAAATATCCTACCACTAGCTTGATAAAAAAAACATCTGCTTTAGGAGGAAATCTATGTTTTTCAATTCATGCAATCATGTTATTTATATTTACCTCTTAGCTGTAAAAATCAGACTGCCAAGCTCAAAAGGCATACTAAATCATCATTAATATGCATGGAACCAGAAACGCAGAGTGAAACGCAGTAGGAGTGGGCATAATTCTGATCTATTGCTAGTTTTGAGATGTGGAAATTCATTCTCAACTATCACTTTAGAAACTATAGTCTGCTATATTTAGTCCCTTGGAGTACTCTGACAGCTAAGCTAAATTCTGAAAAGCATATGAGAATGCCTGGAAAATACTCATCACTGCACATGTAAAAAGTTTCATTCTGCAGTAAGAATGAAGGTATCAGTGGGTATACCTAAATTACCTATTTTCCATTCTCTTCCAGTGCACATAATGACAGCATGGTTTGTGTTGGAAGGAACCTTAAAGATGACCTTGTTCAATCCCTCTGCCCCTGGACAGGAATACCTTCTGCTAGACCAGGCTGCTGAAAGCCCCACCATGTAATGTACAAAGCCCAGGGTCAATATCCACAATGACAGCCTTGACTTTTTTAAAGGATCACTATTTGTCCTCCCATGCTAACGTGCAAGTAAGAGAGTTCAAAAAGGTTAAAGGTTGTCTGTCTCTTTTCACACACAGCAGCAAAAAAGCAATTCTCAGCTCAGCTGCTAACTCAGCAGAGGAAAAGGGTTAAGAATATCAGTGAGTCACTGACACTGTAAAATATAAAGCACCATCACAGCTAACCACCATATGCTGTAACAAAAGTAGAATGAAAGCTTTGATACATAAATTATATCCGGAGGATATTTCTAATACAGACATCAGAGGCTTTTAATTCACAAAGCTGTCTGAATTCTATATGCTGATGCATTTCATGTTCAAATTAGTAGTGATGAAATCATCCCATGATTACTCATGATGGTATGTTAATCTTTCTTTGGAAGTTACATTTTCAAACAAAGATAAAGAATTTAATTAAAATTTTTATCTTCAGTGATGTTTCTTAAATTTTGCAATGCTGGAATAAACTTACATAAGTTACTATTATAAGCTCCATTTAAGTCCCTACAGAGCCTCACTAAGAGTGTATTTGAAATTAATATAGCACGATGCCCCAGGTTAACTGCTGCACTAGAACAGAGTTTCTTCTCGTACCTGTCACCTTCCACATCTGCCACACTTCTTATACCCTTTCATTAAATACCACACCTATACCAGAAGCAATGCAAACCACACAAATATTTGAATACCACACTGATACCTCAAGATCCCTGAACAAATACACTGCAGCATTCACTGAAAGTTCCAAGGGGGGGCCTTTGCAAAGCAGTGGACTGCTTCTGCTGAATGGAAGCAGTTCATATCTCTGGCTGGACCATCAGTCTGCCTTAAAAAAGGCAGGATTCAGAGATCATCTTTCTCTGCCTAGAACTGCAACAGAAACCTTGGCATATGCCACACTTATTGCATCTCTAAAACAGGGAGTGATCCAGACCTGCTTTTCCAAGCCACCACAATTGAAACAAAAGTCTCCAAGTTCAAGTGGCTTGCATACTACAAATGGCAAAAGGGAATGCTTGCTGTCTTAGGGGCATTCCTACATCCAGGCCCCTTTTCATTATTTTCCTGATTTATGAAATTCATCTAATGTGATTTAGATGACTGACCTTGTAAGAAGATTTGTTTTTTTCCTTGGCTCCCTCCCACCCTCCTCAGCATCCCTACCTGGATGTTCCACTCTTACCTCCCTAGCTCTCACTAAGGGACCACACACAATGAAGCAATCTGTAAGGATTCTCTCTGTAAGGAATCTCTCTCCCTGAATGACAGAAGAGATTCACAGATCAAGAGAAGGCAGTGCCTGCATGCCATCTCTCACATCTGGTTTCACTTCACTGTGCCTGTGTTTTTTTTCTTGGGGACATTGCCAATTTTGCATTGTACACCATCATGAGGAGGAAAGGAAGCAGGGTTTTACATGCACTGTGCAACACAGTGGTCAACTTCAGACTGTTCCCAGGGTCAGCGTGAACATTGAGCCACAGAGCTCCTACTGCCCTATTTCAGGGAACCACCACAGTGACCCAAAGACCACCCTGTCTTGCTAATGGTGACCAGCTCCCAGAAGAAGGGCACATAAAGCCATCAGCCACATGCAGAGTCAAAGCTCACCTAACAAATCCTTCTCTTTGCTTCCATAGCCTGCTTGGAAACCTTCTGAGTTAGGCTGCTTCATGAGCACTCCACTTGAAGCCCTGACAGGATTATCTACTTGGTCTGACTTCTTCTGTACAGCCCTCCAGTTTGACTGCCCACAGTGCCCTGAGGTAATCAGCAGCTCCACAGAATCACTAGAGGTTGCAGGAACATGTCCTTATTTTTCCCTCCATGCTTACTCCACTGCCCTTCATTATGTTCTCTTCCTCAATATCCCAGTCAGTCTCCATTTCTCACTTTTATGACTCCTAGGATTCAAGCCACTAGTCAGAGACACATGGAGACAACTGGACAAAGGGCCTCTCCAATCCCCCTTCATGGTTCCAAATTGAAGCTTCCAAGACGAAGAAAATGTCCTTTTACCACAACTTAAATCTCACAGGCTCTTCCTCGGAGCTTCTGCTGTGCTGTGGCACAACTGTCCTCCATCAGTTCTACAAGCAATTTGACATTGTGAGCAGGTATGCCCTCCTATCCTGCATTTCATCTGAATCCTTTAAAGTCA